TTGAAACAAATTTTGCTAGGTTCCTTATCAGCAGGTCTACTTGGGAAAATTATTGCATGTCATTTTAGAGATACTTTGCTGTAGAGTTTTATTTAATCATGAATATCACTGATAACTTGAAAAATATGTAGAAAAATATATAGGCTTCAGAAAAATATGGTTTCAAGTTTGTTAATCTTCTTATGTCATGTACTTCCTAGGAAAAATAGGTTTCATGCATGTGATGTGGGAAAATTTTGAAGTGTAGTTCAAGTGTCTTTAATGGCTAATTTTTGTTATTTTTGTTAGAGAGCAAACTTTGTATAAAACATGTATGTGATAAATTTTGTACAGTCATTGTATGCTATGAAGAACATAGAAAAATACTAATTCTATTGTTTGACACTTTTCATAGTACAAAGTATTTTCATGTTCATGATCATGCCATAGCTTGTCATTTTTGTGTAGACTATTTTACTTATCCAAATGCCATGAAAATTTTATGGTAGTCTACTTAGAGTATTACTATGCTACTGTAATTTTCTTAGATTTTTATAAGCACCAGAAATATAGGTTGCTGTTGTAGCCCTAGTTTCAAATGAAATAAAATAATCCTCTTTAATGCAAGTTAGTTAATAATGTTAGCTTTGGTGTATCTTTGAAGCATTTGATAAGATGTGTTGACTTAACCTATTAGTAGTAGAAGAGAATGCAGTAGATGACATGTGTTTGTGGCATATTTTCTTGGATGATGTGACTACCTTGCATTCGAACATATCCATTGTATTCATCTCATCCGATGTACCGATTGCATAGGCACTTACACGCATTGCATCATACAGGATCGCAAACCGAGAACCCAGTCGTCATTCCCGAGGAGCCCGAGGAGCGATTCGAGGTGCAACCAGCAGAAGTGCCGTGGTTTACGAGAGGAGGACGTTGAGGAACTTCCGAGTGCTCCGATCACCGTCCGAGCTCCTTCGAGAGAGGCAAGCCCCGAGCATCTTTCTCCCGGTTTGCAATGATTTCATTAAATGCTTTACTTTAAATTGATGCATTACGTTCAGGAGTTGTTTGCAACCGTTGTTTGCATTATACCTTGTTTACCTTTGTTATACTATATCCTTGTTACCCGGTATCCGCAATCGAGTCAATGCTTAGTGGCTTAGACCGTAGAAATCGGGTGATTTCTGTCACCGCGAGCTATAGGTGGTTACTGGATCTCGCTTTGATGACTATGAAGTCATGATATAACTAAGTGTTAAATGAAGTTGAGACCGGACGGAGATTTGCGTAGTTTTGGACCGTGTAGTGTTTCCGTCAGTAATCGATTAAGGACCGACCGTTGTTGGGCCTCGAGTCATGTTGAACGATGCCTTACATTTAGCTGGCCGGATAAAGTACCTTCCGACCGCTGGGCCGGGAGATTTTTCGGCCGAGTAGATTGCCGCAACGCATCGTGTCTTGGAAGCGGTGTGGTAGGACACGGGCGGGATGATAAGACCAAAGTGCGATCGATCGGTCGGCCCCGGGTACATGTGGTTCTGGCAAACTCGAGATACCGGAAAGTTGACTCGGTGATCAATATCTCACTTTAGCGGGTGAGTGAGGTTTGTGTAAGGAATAAATCACCAGCTGGTTAGGAATCGATTCGAATCGCCATCGCTCCTGGATAGTGAGCACTTGACTTGAGTGACTTCATCGTAGTAAATGTTTATGGAATACTTGGACAGTTATAGTGAATATGACAGTATGGAAGTTGTTTAATGATCAGTGGTTATCATTATCTGCTTAATCACATGTTTACTCTAGTATAGGTGCAAATCTAGTCGACAGGTTAATAATAATTAACTTGACAATAATGCTTTTAGAAGGGTTCTTGAAATGCTAAAAATGCTTCTTTTCAAATGAGTCAGCTACCCTACTATAAAGCCTTCATAATCCTTGGTGTCATTTATTTTAGGTTATGTCGGGTAAGTCTAGCTGAGTACCTTCTCGTACTCAGGGTTTTATTCCCACTTGTTGCAGATGGGCAGATGTATTACGGCTATTGTATCAACTGCCTTTATCCTGCGATGGGTGATGCTTAGGACCATGGGCATGGTCATTCCTTACGTCTCGTCTAATGCTTTTGTTGGAGATGATCATTCGCTGACACTATATTTGAACTCCGCGTGAGTGTGTGTGGTTGAACAATTGGCTTCCGCTACTTTTATTCGAACTGGTTTTGTGATAACTATGTTTAAACTCTGATGTACCTGAGATTGCGAACTTTTATGTAATATGTGATGGTGACCGCTAAATTTATTACGATCTTGGCTGGAATGGAAGTTGGTTTGAAATCCTTCGTGATTTCACGGACTACCGGGTTATACGGGCTTAAGTTTGCTCAATCGTCTGCTCTGACGGATTATTTTCTTACTTAATTTCGTATAATTGGTCGGTTCTGTTACACTTTGCCTGCGCACTAGGAGACAAAAATAATGTGTCAGAATATCTCAGGACTGTTTGGTCATTGAAATTGAAATTTATTCTAATAATCATAATTTAGACATAGATCAATAAAGTTAACATGGCTATATGCAAAACTTACTTAATAGTTGAATACTGTTGTTGACCACGTGTAGGAGACACTTATAGCGTGTTTTGATTCATCGATGAGGAGAGCCTAGCTCGCATCTGAATCTATGCTCCTGCTGGACAGTCCATGGGGTGCGAGCTATTGGTTTTTTGTTGCTGTTGTCTACATGTATAGAACCCAACTAAGAAGAGGTGGTGTTTGGTTGCCTACATAAAACCGTACCATATGAAATAAAAATACGAAGTCAAAACAACATCAGAATTAAGACTTTGTTTGGATGTTATAGTATTAAGAAAACATAATATTAATAAAGTGCAGGTTTATAACTCATGGATGTGTAAAATCATGATTTAGAAAAAGGTACAGAGTAGAGTTTTTAAAACACCAAAAATACTACAATTGTAACAATACCATGGTGTTTTTAAACCATAAAATTGGTTGCATCCAAACACTTCATGATACTCTAAAACCAAAAAATTTACAAAACCATGATATATGTTTTTTCTAAAACCATAAAAATACCTTGCATCAAACAGAGCCTAACGGTGCAACCACAAGGGGTTACTGTACACTATATTTTTCCTTTTTGTACTTGGGCAGTCACATTAAGTTGACATGGTTGGTTTTTGATTCATAATGGCAACCAAATATAACACATAAATAAATGATCATCTTCTCGTCACAACTCATGTGCACTCACCTAGCTGAGAAAAAACACAGAGAGGTGGTTCACTATAAGAGAGTTGTCGTATCAATATCCTGTAAATAAGGCATTTGTATCTCTATATTGTTTAATGAAAACAAACATCATGTAATTAGTCTGTCTACTACTTAACTATGTATTTTATGTAGTTTCAACATATGAATTTTTTTCGCCATAGGATTAAGATCCAACAGCCTCCACCATTCTTCTACCTTCAGCCTCTAGCCTTCTTCTACCTCCAGCCTTCTTCTACCTCCAGACAATCACAAATCACAAGATCACAGATCCATAGATCACAAGAAATAATTTTCTTTCTATACAAGGACAAATCATAGATCGCAGAGGAGGCCGCAGCCACCACCTCTGCCGCCGCCACTACCATGGCCGGCGCGGGCGCGGGGAGGCGCGCCGGGCGCTTGGGCGAGCTCGCCGGTCGCTGTCTACGGCGCCGGTGGTCGCCGGTGAGAAAGAGAGGGAGAGAGAGAAAGAGTCGGGTGAGAGAGAAACCGGTGAGAGGGAGAGTGTTTATGTGTTCGTTATGACATGTGGGCCCCAGACGTCATAAATAAAAAAAACACATGTGTGTTTTTGGTGTTAAAACACATGTGTGTTGTATAGCATTTTTAAATGAATCTTCTAATATCCTGGTTGAATCCGCAATTCGGAAGCCGCTCCCCAACCTGGCCATGTGCTCTCTGATACCCTATTACAGTACCTTGTTTAGTTACCTCCATTTTCTTACCACCTAACTCGTCGGTTACTCCTCACGGTAACACGCCGTAGCGGCGAACTATAGCGTCCATCGGAACCCAATCTTGCGCCGCACGCCGAACCCTACAAAAATACAACACAGGCGGTGGTCCAACCAAATACCAATACAACACACATGTGTTTTAGCACAAAAAAACACATGGATTTTTTTGTCCCTCTCTCCCTCTCTCTTTTCAACTGTAGTCGACGTGATGGAGCGGGTCGCAGTACCAGTACGTGTTCCAAGGAGCGGGTCGTCGACGTGACGGAGGACACTGCCGATTGGTCGTAGCAGTCGACGTGACGTGACGAAGCGGGTCATAGCTGCAGAGGTAACTGCTGACTGGGAACTTTTTTTTTTGTCCTTGCATAGAAAAAATTGTTTCTTGTGATATGTGGATCTGTAATCTTCTGATCTTCTGATTGTCTGGAGGTAAAAGAAGGCTGGAGGCACTACCGGATATAGGAACTTTGCCGAGTGCCAGGGGCACTCGGCGAAGCCCCAAAAACACTCGGCAAAGGGTTTGTCGAGTGTTACACTCGGCAAACGACACTCGACAAACCCATTTATGGCAAACGCTAGTTTGCCGAGTGTTTTTAGCCGTGCACTCGACAAAGATGTTGCCAAGTGCCCAAAAACACTCGGCAAACATTTTCAGCAAAAAATAAAAAAACAATTGCCGCCACCGGCCGCCGCCCACCACGGCTGCCACCGGCCGCCGCCCACCACCTCGCCCGCGGATCTGACCACCACGGTCGCAGATCCGTCTGGAGAAGCCGCTGGAGGTGCTCCTCGGCCAGATCCATCACCGCTGGAGGTGGTCCTCGGCTAGATCCGTCACCGAGCTCGAGGGAGAGGGAGGATCCGCCGCCGCTGGAGGTGCTCCTTGGCCAGATCCGTCGCAGAGCTCGAGGGAGAGGGAGGATCCGCCGTCGGGGTATGCCGCCGCCCGCACCCGCGAGAGGGAGGCCGCGTCGCCCCACGCGATGCCGCCATGGGTGGGCCACCATACTGAGGATCCACCAGGGCCTGGCCTGGATCCGCGCCGCCCCGCCATGGATCCACCCGGCCTCGGCATGGATCTGCGCCGCCGAGCGCTGTGAGGGCCGCTCCGCCATGATCCGCGCCGGAGGGAGGAGAGAGGACGCCTCTACGGAGGGAGGACGGCGTCATGAAGGAGGGAGGAGAGGGCTAGAGGGAGGGAGGGAGGGCGAAGAGGGCCGAGGGAGGGAGGAGAGCGCCGGAGGGAGTGAGGGAGGGAGGGCGCCGTCGGGAGGAGAGGTGGCACTGGGGGAAGGGAGGAGAGAGAAGGAGTGGGGACGCGAGGCATGGGGGCGCTGGGGACGCGGTTAAGTAAGGAATTTTTTTTGTTGCCGAGTGTTTTCTATGGGGCACTCGGCAAAAAAAAATTCATTTTTTTCTTCTCCTTCTTTTTTTGCCGAATGTTCTAGATCTGAGCACTCGGCAAAAAATTTATTTATTTTTCTTCTTTTTCTTTAAAAAAAGATTTTATTTCTTTGCCGGGTGTTTTTTTAACACTTGGCAAACCACCTCTTTGCCGAGTGTTTTTTTTTTTACACTCGGCAAAACACCCTATTTGCCGAGTGTTTTGTTACGGCACTTGACAAAGAACTGGTTCGCCGAGTGACCGAGGGAATACACTTCAAACATAAGAACACTCGGCAAATTTGATGATTCCGGTAGTGAGGTAGAAGAAGGCTAGAGGTAGAAGGAGGATGGAGGCTGTTGGATCTTAATTCTATGGTGTAAAAAAATCATATGTTAAAACTACATAAAACACATAGTTATTGGGTGGACAGACTCATTGCAAAAATCTCCCCCTCTCCCTTTCTCTCTCTCTCTCGATCGGAATAGCGCAGGCGGAACCGGAGCAATGGTTCATCCTGGGCCGCGTCGTCCTCGAGCAGGCACGGCGCCAATGCCTTGGTTGACCCTAACCTTGACCTCAAGCTACCGCTCGACAGGCCGCCGCCGCGCATCACCAGCCTCACCGCGCTCACGAGGGTTGGCGTCGTCCGCGGCCAGCTCTCCATCGTCGCCACCAGCAACAAGGACCTCCTCCTCCACGAGCTCGAGAGGCCCTCGGAGCCCAACAACCCGAACATCTTCTTCCTGGCGGTCGGGATCGACTTCATGCCTGATGAGCTGGCCGCCGCCGCCGGACGCAGCGTGTTCGACGTCACCGCCACGCGCCTCCTCAACCGCACCCCCGGATTGCCCCACTTCTCCGGCGTCAGGAACGTCGGCTTCCTCAGTCGCCGCGGCGGCAACGGCACGTACGTGGTCGCGGAGCTCCAGGCCACCGATCGCCAACCGGACAACACCGTCCCCTTCATCACCTGCCGCTCTCACCAGGACCCGGAGAACGACACGTTGGAGTGGGAGTGGAACCAGACGTATCTCAACTGGCCCGTCCTCGACGACGAGGCCAACCCGCAGTGGACTACCCACGACGTGATCGCCCACGACAATAAGCTCTGGTGGGTCAACCTCTCGCGGGGTCTCGTCGCCTGCGACCCGGCCCCGGTCCAACAACTACTGCCGACGCTGGAGTTCGTGGCGCTCCCGGTCCTCGCCGGGTTCGAGGACAGGCACGAGCCGCCGGCGCAAATCGACAGGTACCGCATCGTGGGTGTGAGCGCCGGCGGGATGCGGTTCGTGGATGTCGCTCGCAGGCGCAACGATCCCGAGGGAGAGACGCGGGTGGTCGTCTGGACGCTGGACTTGCCACAGTTGGATGAGTTGATCATCAACGCCAGGTGGGAGGGACAACCCCAGGCAGACGACGCTGGCGAACATCTGGAACAGCGCCAACTACGTGCCGATGCCGAGGGGGATCCCCGTGGTCGCGCTTGTGCACCCCAACGAGCCCGCCGTCGTCTACTTCTTCCTGGAGCAGTACGTCTTCTCCGTCGACGTGAATCAAAGCGCCGTCGTGCACTTCGCGGTGATGCCGGAGGACGGCGTGCCACGGCCGATCAACCGGCGAGACGTTCTCGCTTGGAAGCGCCCTCCCTTCAAAACAGTACGGTACTACTATAGCTAGCTTAATTTGTGCTTGGCATTTTCCACGTGTTTTCCATCCGCCTGTCCTAGTCCGAGCTTTACTTGCAATTTGAATTTCACATGAGATGCCTGATGCCTTCGTATGCACGGATGACCTAGCAAAACGTCATGTAGAGTAGTATATCTGTTTGCATCTACGGTATTGGCACTTATCATGATAACGGTCACCTTTGATCCCCTTGTTAGTTACCACTGAGATACGGAATCTTTCAGCAATTGCATGACTACTACTCTACTACATATCAACTGTCCATGTTCATCTTCAGTTGGGAGCAGGGGAAATTAAGGGAGACTAGTTCTGCGCTGATGAAATATGAATGATAATTAGTATAAAAAGTTGTAAAGCATGGAGCCTGTGACGTGTATGTTGCAATTTAATTTATAAACAGGTGAACAGAACTCTCCAATTTGAAACTTGAAACCTTGCCTATCCCGTTTTTAATTTGAGCATGAACAACTTGCTACAACAAATTTGAGCTTAATAACGAAGCCCAAACTAAGAAGTAAACGACTGCATGCAGGTACAGAGAATGTTAGCCCCTCGATCTCCGGCACGGAGTTATCGCTAGTATTGCCGAGCACATATTAGCGATGCCGACCACGAACTGTCGTTGGCTACCACACACTATGGTTAGAGGTAGAAGACGAGAGGGAGAATAGAGCACATACACAGTACAAGCACCAGCGTTGACCGGAGCCCTGCAAAGGAGATGGCGGAACTGAACTCGCTCTCTTTACTGAGTTGCAGTGGTAAACTATATATACAACTCTAACCATTTAATCCTAGTACACAGACATGTCAGGCTAACATGTTGCTACAGTGACTAGATGTGACAGCAGGGCTGACTTTGGCGCTTGCCCTTGCTGTGGCTACAGAGCGGCAGGTGAGCCGTTCGGCGCCTGCCCCTGCAGCGGCTACAGTGTCACAGCAGGGAGTCTTTTCGGCGGCGCCTTCCCCTGCTGTGCGTTCACACAAGGGAGCAGTAGATTAGTTAACAATTTTTCCCTTAATCTTGCTGCTAACTCTTGAACCCCCCTCCTTGTCAATCATCTCCTTCAGCTCCATAAACCGAAGACGGCTGAGTGGCTTGGTGAGGACGTCCGCGAGTTGCCGACCAGTTTCGACGAACTCGATGACGATATGCCCTCCATCGACACAGTCCCTGAGAAAGTGAAACTTGATGTCAATGTGCTTGCTCCGGTCATGGAGGACCGGATTCTTCGCGAGGGCGACGGCGGGTTGGTTGTCCACCATCAGTGCTGGCGGGTGAGCTTTCACCCCGGTCAGCTCACTCAACAGCCAGCGCAGCCACACAGCTTGGCACACCGCTGTGGCCGCCGCCACGCACTCTGCCTCGCATGTGGACAACGCCACCACCTTCTGTTTCAGTGACAGCCATGAAATTGGAGCCGGTCCGAGAAAGACGAGCACGCCAGAGGTGCTCCGTCGTCCATCGATGTCCCCCGCCGTATCTGCATCGCTGAACACAGTGAGCTACAGTATACTTCCGCCGATCTTGGGGAAGACGACTCCCTGATCCATCGTCCCCTTGACGTAGCGCAGTAGCCGCTTTACCTTAGCCCAGTGATCCTCTCTGGGATCCTCCATGAAGCGACTGACGTAGCCTACGGCAAACGCAATGTCCGACCTCGTGTGGACTAGATAGCGTAGACCGTCGACGATGCTCCGATAGAGTGTTGCATCTACCTTCGCCGCGGTACTGGCCTTCGTCAACTTCAGCCCCTCCTCCATCGGAGTCACGCATAGCTTGCACTCAGCCATGCCACTCCGCTCCAACAGCTTCGAGGCGTACGCGCTCTGACCAAGCGTGAGTGCCTCCTCCTCCTGTCTCACCTCAATACCGAGGTAGTAGGAGAGCGCACCGAGATCGCTCATTCGAAAGCGAGCCGCCATCTCGCGCTTGAAGTTGTCGATGTCCTCCGCACGCGCGCCGGTGACGATCAAGTCATCCACATACACGCCGACGACGAGCTCCTCCTTCCCCCATCGCCGCGTGTAGAGCGCGTGCTCGGTTGCGCACCTCGTGAACCCAAGCTCGCCCAGCATGGCATCAAGCTTGGCGTTCCACGCTCACGGGGTCTGCCGCAGCCCGTAGAGCGCCTTGCGCAGTCGGAACACCCTGTGCTCCGCTCCCTTGACGATGAAACCTAGAGGTTGCTTGACGAAGACCGTCTCCGCCAACTCGCCGTTGAGGAAGGCTGATTTTACGTCCAAGTGATGGACGCGCCAGTCCTTTGCTGTTGCCAAAGCCAGTAGCAATCGGACAGACTCCATGCGCGCTACCAGCGCAAAGACTTCCTCGAAGTCGATGCCCTCGCGCTGGACAAAGCCTCTGGCGATGAGGCGCGCCTTGTGCTTAACAATGGTGTCGTGCTTTGTCCCGTTTGACCTTGTACACCCACTTTAGGCCGATCAGACGTCATACTGGAGGTGGATCGACAAGCTTTCAAGTCTCGTTTTCCTCGATCGCCTTCATCTCCTCCAGCATTGCCCGTCACCAATTTCCATCGCGCTCGGCTAGCACGAATGTGGGTGGTTCCTCTGTACTAACGAGAAGTAGCTCTAGGTCATTGAGCGATCGACCCGCCAGTCCTGAGGGTCCTGTGCCGCCGTTGATGTCATCCAGCCTGTGGAACCGCACCTCCTCACCATCGTGGAAGGCATCCACGAATTCAGTGATGTCACTTGGAGGTGAGGCGAACTCGATCAGTGTTGATGGAGTTCTCTATTCCGCCGGAGTGATCGGCACAACACCTGGAGTGCTTGGCACCCCGGATGCAGTGCTCGGCACTACTCCTGGACTGCTCGTCACCACTCCTGCAGTGCTCGGCCCCATTATAGGAGTGCTCAGCCCCAGTCTTGGTGTGGTCGGCACCACTACAAGACCTCTTGGCTCCGCTATGGGAGTGTTCGACACTCGTCCTGAAGTGGTTGCTACCACTGCAGGACCTCCTGGCACCACTCCTAGAGTGCTCGGCACCCCTCCCAGAGTACTTGGCACCTCCCCAGGAGTGCTCGACGCCTCTCCCAGAGTGCTCGGCACCTCTTCCCCAGCGTCTCCATCAGCGTGGATGACCAAGTGCTCGATAACGAAGGTACTGGTGAAGCCGCTAGCTTCCCCCGTGCTCGGACTGTTCTAGTCCCAGGCTGCCTTCTCGTCGAACATGACGTCGCGCGAGACAAGCACCTTGCCTCCGTATGGGTTGTAGAGCCGATACGCCTTGGTACCCTCTGCTTAGCCCAGGAACACCATTGGTGTGCTCTTGTCCTCCAGCTTGGTGAGGATCGGCTTTGTCTTCCTGACGTGGCCAATGTAGCCGAATGTCCGGAGGAAGGACACGCTCGGCTTGCGCCCGTACCAAGCTTCGAACGACGTCTTGCCCTTTAGGGCCTTGGTGGGCGCGCGATTGAGGATGAACACTGTTGTGGTCACCGCCTCACCCTAGAAGCTCGTCGGCATGCCCTTTGCCTTCATCATGGATCGAGCCATGCCGACCACCGTTTGGTTCTGCCTTTCCACCACGCCATTCTGCTATGGCGAGTACGGCGCGGTGTGGTGCCGCAGCACACCCTGATCCACGCAGTACGCAGCGAACTCCACCGAAGTGAATTCGCCGCCGCGATCTGTCCTCAGCACACGCAGCTTCTTGCCGCTCTCGACCTCCGCGCGCATCTTGAACTTCTTGATCACCGTTGCCGCTTCATCCTTGCTCGTTAGGAGTTGTAACCACATGTAGCGTCTGCAATCATCCATGAGCAGGAGGAAGTACCGCCGACCACCATTTGTGGGTGGCATGATTGGCCCGCAGAGATCACCGTAGACGAGCTCGAGAGCGTCCACCGTGTGAAACTTGGCCGCCTTTGGGAATGGCAGCCTCCTCTGCTTCCCGGCCAGACAGCTATCACACGGCTTGCCTCTGTGCTCGATGTGGGGCAGCCCTCGGACCATCTTCTCCAGCCGACCAAGCGCGTTGAAGCTAAGATGGCTGAACCGAGCATGCCACAGCCACGGCTCCTTGGTGTGCCTTGCCGCCAGGCACACCAACTGCTCTACCTTCAAGTCGAGCAGGTATAACCGGTTCTAGGACCTCTTCACCTTGGTAAGAAGGTGCTGCTCCCGGTCCCTGATCCTAAGGACGCCGTCCTTGATCAGTACCTCGCTACCGCGCTCATCCAGCTGGCTAATGTAGATGATGCTGGATTGCAGCTGCGGAATGTAATATACATCCGTTAGTGCGTGGTGCTCGCCGTTCTAGCACCTAAAGATGATGGTGTCGCGCCCTTGGATCGTCATCCTTGAGCCATCACCGAACTTCACCGTGCCGGTCACATCGTCGTCGAGCTTGGAGAAGGCTGCCTTGGAGCCCGTCATGTGGTTGCTGGCGCTAGAGTCCAGATCCAACCGCTGCTCCTGCTCACCGCCCACACGTCCGAGGTGGACTTGGGCGCGCGGTTCATCGAGGTTGACAGCCTTCAGGGCCTTCCCAGACCCTTTCACCGCCATCAACGTCGTGCAGTGCACAGAACATCGTCATTAGGATAGTGGCCTCATCATCATCATCAGCTTGCGCCAGATGAGCCTCAGCTTTCTTCTCCTGCTTGCGATTTGGGCACTCTTGTGCCCAATGGCCTGTCTTCCCAAAGCGCCGGTAGACGTTGAGGTCGACCTTCTTCTTCTCTGAAGAAGCCTTGCCGCGGCGCTTGTCATCGCCACTGAGGGCTGGAGGAGGCGTCCCCGGAGTTCCTCCGAGCAGCCCACTCCTCTTTTATCAGCAGCAACTTACTGTTGTCCTTCGTTGCTGTGGCCTACTCTAGGCGCTCGTCCACCGCCCGTAGATGGCCTGTCACATCCTCAATGGTGAGGGTGGACAAGTCCAGCATCGTCTCTATGGAGAGAGCGATCTGGATGTACTTTGTCGGCACGGAGTGGAGGTACTTGGAGACCGCCTCCTCTTCGTCGATGGTGACGCCGTGGCTTTTCAGCTTGCTGATGAGCGTCTGCAGGCGGAGGGAGAAGTCCTCCATCGATTCACCATCCTTGAACTTGAGGTTGGCGTACTCCTGCTTCAGAAGCTGGGCCGTCGCCTTCTTTACGCGGTCAAAACCGACATGCATCGCCGCAATGGCCTCCCACGCCTCCTTAGCAGAGCTCTTCGCCCCCAACGACTCTTGTACTCCGCTCATACAACAGCGAGGATAGCCTCCAACGCTGACATGTCGTCTTCTTTGTTGTCGGTGCATTTGTCAACAACATTCCAGAGCCGTCGGGCTCTAAGCTTGACATTCATGGTCACCGACCACTCGCCATAGTTGGTGCGAGTTAGCGTCGGCCAACTGGTGCCGCTGACCTTCTGCACCGTGCGCACAACGACCTCCTGTCATGGCTGGGCAGCCACAACAGCACCGCTGCTGTCGTCCATCTCCAAACCGTCTGTCATCGCCAGCGGTTAGTCTGGCGATGGCGCTTGTACGGCTCTGATACCACTTGTTAGCCCCTCGATCTCCGGCACGGAGTTATCCGACCACTCGCTAGTGTTGCCGAGCACACACTAGCGATGCCGACCATGAACTGTCGTTAGCTACCACATGCTATGGTTAAAGGTAGAAGACGGGAGGAAAAAACAGAGCACACACAGTACAAGCATCAGCGTTGGCCGGAGCCCTGCAGAGAAGATGACGGAACTGAACTCGCTCTCTTTACTGAGTTGCAGTGGCAAACTATATATACAACTCTAACCATCTAATCCTAGTACACAGACATGTCAGGCTAACATGTTGCTACAGTGACTAGATGTGACAATAGGGCTGACTTTGACGCCTGCCCCTGCTGTGGCTACAGAGCGGCAGGTGAGTCGTTCGGCGCCTGCCCTTGCACTGCCTTCCCCTGCTGTGCGTTCATACAAGGGAGCAGTAGATTAATTAACAGAGAATGCTGCTACTAAATCGTTTCTGAGGGGATTCATGAACTGAAACATGTTTAGAGAGGCATTCCATCAGTTTGACAGTGTTTTCTGTTCCAGAATTTCATGAACCTGAAATCTATTTAGAGAGGCATTCCTTCAGTGTGACTGAGATTTCTGCTCCAGAATTTCCTCGCACATTTAGCGATTCTTTTAGTATATACTATTATCGTATTCAGTAACTCTTGACTGACACGTGGTGTATTACTTCTTTGAAGGTCCCATTACAGGTCGTATACGAGGAAACGGAACACCTGGCCCAGCATGGATGAGGATCCTGCTGAAGGATGAAATCCCCATTCACGGTGCGGTTATACTTCTCTTGGGTTGACCGCCTAGCTATATATATATATATATACCCGCACTATATATCTTTCAGTAGCAAACATGAAGTACTCCTCTTTTGTGTTGGTCGTGACCAAGTGTGAAGGTCGTGCGCAAAGCCGGCCTTTGTTGTTGTTTCATGTGTTGGCTGTGAGCAGACAAGAGTGTAGACAGGGATTCAAGTCTTTTCTGGTCACAAACTATACAATTCTAACTGTCACAAACTAACTATACAATTATAACTGTCACAAACTATACAATTCTAACTGTCACAAACTATACAATTTTTGTTACCTCTATCCATGCTTTCTACTTCTCAGAAGTATTGTATTCAGTTTTATTGACGCGTTATCAGCTGTCGTTGGATATACTTGTGTGGTTTCAGAGCTTGTTGGATATATTCATATTCATATATAAGGTGTTGATGTTGCCCATATGATTGAATAATTGAATTAACTGTTGCTGGGTGAAAGAATTTTCCAACCCAAACAGGAACAATCCACTGGTGGTTTTGCTGAGTGGCCTCATCTTCTTTCTCCTCCTTTTTTTCTTTTCCAAAGACAATGAATATATTGACAGAGATTCAGGTTGGATCTTGCCATGGCAACTGAACATCAATCCAACATAAATGACAGCAGGATTTACTACGTGATTTCCTGGAGGTGCTACATCTTCAGCGTAGTCACAGCACTCTGCCTGCAATTCAGAAAAGCCCCCAAAAGCTCCAGCTAGTATGATGTAAATCTCGCTCCATAAATCACTTTTTTCACCTTACTAACTCGACATCAGTTCATTACTACAACATTAGGGAAGCCGGTTTTGATAATGTCGTCATTACAGTTACTAAATGGCTTCATCAGTATGCATGTCGTCGCGGGGTGTGCGTGTCCAGTAATTCTCTCTCTCTCTTCTATCTATACTCCTAAAAAGCCTATACAGGAATCGTCAACATCGTCCCTTCGCCCCGCTCGCTCCATCGCCCCCACCTACGATCTGCGTGCCCTGACAAGTGAGGCCCACCTGCTCGACCCCATGCCTCCCAAAAAACCGCGCTTCTTCCTCTCGCCAGCTCAGGCTTCCTCCTCCGGCCGGCGCGGGCGTGGGGGGGCGCGGCCGGCGCAGGGCGCTCGCGACCAGGTCGGCGGTGGGGCGCGGCCGCGAGTGGAGGCGAGCCCGGGGGTGGCGGCGGCCATGGCGCACACGGCCGTAGCCCGGGACGGACGCGGCGGGGCACCGGGCGCTTGCGGCACCGAGGCGAACGGCATCGGGGCGGGGGCGGGCACGCAGCCGCGGCCTGAGAGCGCGCTCGTGGATCCCGCGTGGCCGGAGGCTAGCCGGGCTGGGGCGTCTCGCCGGCCACGGTGGGGGCGAGGGGCGAGGGGCGAGGGGCGAGGCCGGCGACGGTGGGGGCGAGGGGCAAGGCCGGCCACCGGTGATTGCTCGAGTTTAACCATCTAACTCTTGGTGTTCCGGCTAGCCTCTGGCAGTCCCGTCATCCTCGTTGACTCATCTTAGTTGTGCATGCAGCAAGGATGCCGAGCCGTCGGGCAGGGCGGCCTCCCGAGCGGCCTGGGCGCGCGCGGATGGGGCCGACCAATTAAAATGTAAATTTCTTTTTATTTAGTGCACTGTATGAAATATGATGCCATTTATGAAGGACTCCATCCAATAAATTGATATCTTAGATAGGGAGGGCACTGTATTAACTACAGAATTCTCATATGGGTGCTTACACGATGAATGGAGAGAGAAGTTTGCTTCATCATGTCACATTAGCATTATCACTCTAATTTTAGCCTGCTCAATTCCATAGAGATCATTTTTGGATGCTTAATACTGAAACATGTGTGAAAACATGGTCGTATGAGCCATAAAACTTTAGTCATTTAAATATTTAATTATTTATATTTTTCCCTTTGTTCAGCTTGAGTCATTGCACTTACATTGTCTCGAATCATTCATGTTTTCAACTGTCTTAATATATGTGAGCAAGAAGTAGAAAAACTTTTGTGCTTTGAAGACCCTATGGGTAACAGGCTCATAGTGCTGTTACCCTTAGAAACTATCCTGTAACAATGAGATCAAAAGTGCAGTTCTAAAAGTGTTGCTTTGCAACTGGAGAGAAAACCATAGTGGCTAGGTAGCTAGCCAGGACTTGCTAATCATGGATTCTATCAGCCAGTGTTTTTTTGTTCCTGAACTTCCTCCTTCAAATCTCTCTTTATTTTATCATGAGATGAAGGATGTAATAAACAGAAAGTTGATGTAATCCCAAACATCTTCGGTCTGCAGCATGCAGGAAGGATTATGCACTTCTATTGCAGTCTCAACCTCCCTAGGTGTTGCCTGAGTCCCTATCATTAGAGTGACACTTATGATTCTGATGTAATTTGCCTTTATCATTCTGATTCTGCTCACCTAAATATACACATGCATTTAGTATATTCCTGGGTGTATTTTCCTTAATATAGTCAACTACTCATGTTAGAATTGCTTGGATTATTCTTGAGTTAAGTTCGGATTAGTCATTTTTACCAATGATATATGATGTCCATGAACAAGAGTCTAAGGTGCAAATTGGATTATCCGAAGTCATGTTTATACTACACATGTGCCCGTGTCCCCTAAAAATGCAAGTGCTTGCCTGTGAGGCACCAGAATGAGCTCCTGCTTCCTTTCCTACCAGCCATCCCTTTATTGCCATCAAGTATTAGATTGCATCTGAAAGAACCCAATCCCTCCCTCCCTCCCTCCCTCCCTCCCTCATTTAGGTATTGCATTAGTACTAAAAAAGTCAAAAATGCATTGATCATTGATTTAATGATGGCTACAACTGATATAGGAGCTATGTCTTATCTCCTTTTTTTTGTTCAGGCTATCTGATCCAACAGGAATTCTGGAGCCACTTCCAAGCCAGGACTCGGCAGCCACAAACATGAATGCTAATTTGAACTTCAAGCAAATGAAAAGTGCTATACTGGAGCATTTTCCTTTAACTTATTTGTGTAATATTTTAACCTTTAGTGTTATTTTTGCATTATGGGTTCTACCTTTGGCTCTGGACCAGCAAGAGGAAGCTCATTATCCAAGAGGCAGAGGATACTTATTTTGTGAGCTGTTTAAGAGAACCAAATAGCAGAGGGGCTCTACTCGCTAGCATTCACATACATTGATTTCTATTTTTTCTCTACCAAAATTATTGTCTAATTTGAAATAAATATATTTTTTGGTGCTTTCATCATAGCTGTTGATTTAAGGCCTAATATTGTACCGAGTTATTTGTTAGTTAGTCTTCTAAATCATGGGCTGGTGCTAAATGGTTGAGTCGATTATTTGTGCAAGAGTTGTGTTGTCTGTATATGCAATCAAGCAAAAAGACAAGTTTGTACTAATTATTTGTCCGTTGATTTCAACTCACTTTTTTTTCTTATTCTATTGAGTTGAAAACACTTTTTTTTCTTATTCTTGTTGAGTTGAAAACACTTTTGAGGCTCGTAACTACTCTTAATGTGTTTTAAATTTTGAGACTCCCGTAGCGACGTACGGGCCTGCTAGTCCATGGGAAAACCTCCACCGAAACTGCTCCCCATTCCGAGGTGGCTTTGTAATTTTGCCATTTTCAACATGAGCTTCACAAAACAGCCACCTCCGTATTTTGTTTTTGTTTTTCTAATTTCAGCCTTGTGCTCCCGACGGTCTGACTGCTCTGATTGGCTTTCAGAGCTCCTGAGGAAGTTTGTGGTCGCCGAGGGTGGCGACGACGCGGACGCCCCCACCAGCCTGTTCACCTTCCGCTCGGACGCCAACGCGTAGGCGGTGGGTCAATTTGGAGCATGGACTGCGGAGATGTCCGTCTGGACGCTGCTCCAGCAGCTAGCGCCCAAGCTTGCTTGTCGTGGGAACCACGGTGCCTAAAGCCTAGGTGCCATATGGGATGGGAACACCACGCAGCTTCATCGATAAAGATGAGCTTGTTGCAAAGGTTACCCCGAGTTGGCGCTGCTGCACTGAGCCATAGCGAGGTTGTGCATTTCCTCTCCGCGGTGTTGGCCGGCCCTCCTCCATTCAGCTGGCGACACGTTACCCCTTGGATGCTGGCATGCATGCTGCCATATTCGCTTGAGCATGGTATGATATATACCACCTGTTTTCACATATTCTGCGTTTCGTCTACATCATTCCTCTACGAATTTAGCAATTTTCTGGAGCAACGACAATAGGATGTGAGAGGATTAAGATGAAATTTGCCCCTCCTACGTAACACGGGAGATATCTCTGGATCCCTTGGTGTGGTTGGATCAAGAAAGTGTATAGCCATACCAATGTGATTAAAGACTTAATCATGGTGTGACTAAAGAGTTAGTCACAAGTTATAATCCGTAATAAGATCAAGTGAAGTGTTGAACTATCACAAGGGTGGGAATCTTGTCTTGGGTTCAATTGGTATCGTATCACAAAAGGATTGGGACACGTGCATATCAATGTTTAGCCAATTTGATCTTTATATATTTGTGAAGCCCTATTCGCTTGAACTACCTCAGGCCCTGTTCGTTTCGCTGAAATTTGGCTTATACCGATGCTTATGTTGATTTATTATGAGAAGAAAATACTGTTCTTTTGCTGAAAAGTACTGCTGACGTAGTTCAAGTATACTGCTAGGTGCCACTACTAATTAATGATTGAAAAATGGTTTTTGATCGTGGCTGTCTACACATGAACCTAATGGGTCACACACTTAAGGAGTTAGAACAGTTGCTTAGATGATTGACTCTAATGCAGGTGGAAGATTGTTTGTGATGGGTCTAAGAGTCAATCATACCCGTCGTGGATTGGATATGTAAGTGGGCTAAAACATGATAATGATTCATTAATATATTATTACTAATGGGTTTTTAATGAGAGGCAACTTTAACGTTTAAAGCTCCATGAAGGTGGAACGTACAACATCATTTAGTATCATGCTACTGGTTAATGCAGAGATATATAGTTCTCCTCCCTATATGAATGTATCAACACCCCCATGTGAAAGATAACTTGTCTTCTGCTGCTGTTGTTGTGGCCTTGATTAGCGACGAATGGATAAGGCAGGTGGATGTGTTGCTGCTTCCACTACATTGACACATAAATGGTATCTAACGACGTTAGACTAGGCTACTTCAACTCTTTTTTGGCATACGGTAACAATCTATGATCACCTACTCGCACGTTGTATACGGTAACAATCTATGATCACCTACTGGCATGTCTTGATAAAATAAGGTAGATAATTTTTATGCTAGGATAGCATACCCATTACCATTACCCTACAGATAGTGTTCCATAGTTCTTCCAATGTATCAAAGCTGCCGAAGATCGAAGTGTATTCCATAAAAATTATATTTCGCCTTGTAGCTTAATCACTCAACGGTTCATTGCAATTACACAGGCATTGAGGAAGCCAGTTAGTATATTCCATAGAAATTATATTTCGCGTTCTAGCTTAATCACTCAACCGTTCATTGCAATTACACAGGCATTGAGGAAGCCAGTTTGATAATTTACAGAGTATAACACAATACGCGAAAAAAGGTGGATCCAGACAGAAGGAAACTACAAGTAGGCACCGAGGGTGCAGCATCTCAACACCACAAACTACAACAAATCCAAACAGTATCTCATCAGTTGAGAACTTGGCCTTGCCAGGAGCTTCACTTTATCAGGTGTTGAAAATCCCCGGTGGCATGTACTTGCTTCACCTGTTTGTCATACTCGTCCTCTCCATCGTATTCCTCATCCTCCCCATCCTGCTCGTCATCCTCAGGTTTCTTGCCATCTTCCTGCTCTTCTTCCTCAGCCCAACCAAAACCAGCCACCGGAGTAGATGATTGGGGTGGCGTGCGGGCCTCCTCTACAATCTTCATGATCTCTTCGACGGTTTGATCAGAGAAGGTGGGGGCACTGTTGTCCTTCTTGTAGTACTTCGCTTGTGCAGCTTCTGTAAGCTCTCTGGGCAAATTCTTCAGGAACCAGGGGTGATTCCTAATCTCCCTAATTGTTATTCTCTGAAGAAATGAGACAATATGGCATTAAGGTGGTGGTAAACCATAGTAAAATGATCGAGGCTTTGCAGGATTCACTGCCCAACAGTACCTTCGCAGGATTTGAGACGAAGATCCTAGCGAGGAGCTGTCTGCAGTCTTGGGATATGTGGACATACTCTGGTATCTGGTACTGAATTGACACTATTCTCTGAAAAAGGATATGGGTGCATAAAATTTTAGAAGATAATTTCAAGGTGCAAGAGCCCAGGATTTAGGGTGAACTGTTACCCCAATCGTTTTTCTGAAATTCTTGGGATCATCGGGGTCCTCAAAAGGGTATGCACCAACCAGCATCACGTAAAGAGTCACTCCACAAGACCAAACGTCTGCCATCTGCAACACACATTACAAAATGTAATGAACCCCATCATGAGAAGGAGAAGAACGGGGTTTGACTCGGGTCATGGTTTCGACTACTTATGGGAGCGAAAAAATTCCCCTCCGTGCCATGCCAAAGCACAGGTCTAAGACCCATCTCAGATTCTCACATGGACAACGGTGCCATTGTGTGTGGGTGAGGCAAGGGTTAAGGGGGTTTCTCGATCTGCGTGAGAAGGTCTTCTCTTGGGTGTTTGTTCCCCGGACTAAATTTTAGTCCCTGTCACATCGGATGTTTGGACACTAATTAAGAGTATTAAGAATAGACTAATTACAAAACTAATTGCACAGATGGAGACTAATTCGCGAGACGAATCTATTAAACCTAATTAGCCCATGATTTGACAATATGATGCTACAGTAAAATGTGCTAATGATGGATTAATTAGGCTTAATAAATTTGTCTCGTAAATTAGTCTCTATCTGTGTAATTAGTTTTGTAATTAGCTCATGTTTAGTCCTAATTAGCATTCGAACGTCCGATGTGACAGTAGTCCTGGATCCAAACACCCCCGGAGGCTGTCTTGCCCCCTGCAGGTCGAGTTTTCTTTTTGAGAAGGAGAAGATCACGAACGGCAGTTTCAAGGAAGTAGGTGCCCTTACAATAGTATAGATAAAAAAGTGAGCTCAAATATAAAGGAAGCATGCTATAGTCCAACAGGCAAGCACAGAAGCACTTGTATTTTATTGTGCTTAAACAGAACATTTAAAGACAAATTTTCCCAAGCATGTGCTGACATGAGTTAAAAGCATATCCACTGGTGATGAAACTTCTATCAGTTGTTCAAATATAAGAGAAGCAATGAAACAATCACGCATCACTATGGACTGGGCAATAAAAACCTTGAACATATACAATTATATCAATGGATATATTAAACAGTATATGGCTACTTCACAATTTTCTGTCACTTCATAAGACCAATGATGACAAATCATTTATAACAATTTCTCGCCGAAGTAAGCATGGGCTATAGTAAGACTAAGACACTCCAAAGATACAAATGGAATGGAAAATGGATAGGTGAAGATAAAGTGAATTCCACCACAGGAGGTAGAATTCCAGAGTAGCCCCAAAGCAAATGACAGAAGTAGGCACCTTTGAAATTTGGCAACGCTTCTAGAAACCAAGAATGCATAAATATTGAGCAATGTCCATTGCTTAAACTAATCTTGGTGACATCCTAAGGTTTCTCTTTTTCTTCTTTTGAAGGGCGGGCCTAGTGCAAGCGGTAGAGTCTTACCGCCTGTGACCGGAAGGTCCCGGGTTCGAGTCGCGGTCTCCTCGCATTGCACAGGCGAGGGTAAGGCTTGCCACTAACACCCTTCCCCATACCCCGCACAGAGCGGGAGCTCTCTGCACTGGGTACGCCCTTTTTTTTCATCCTAAGGTTTCTCTTTCACACGCACAGGCAACAAATTTTAAATTCTGTAAAGGAAATTTTGCGAGCAGTTTGGTATGACATTCCAAAAAGTGAGAAACAAAGTATAATAATCAAAGGTTAACAGTATCTACATCAGGCAGGAAAGTAAAGAGGATGAAAAGAGAGCAAAGGTAAAGGCAAACAACACTGAAGGACCACAGGCAACCAATGGGATATCCAGTCTAACATGTTTACATCACATGAAAAGATAAGGCATGAGGGGGCAGAGATCATTGCACACATGAACTAGAACAGGAAAAATGCTGGGAAAATGATCATGAAAAGGACATAAAAGTATGACACATGAGAACAAAATAGGACTTATAAACATGCCCACGGGACATCACCACAATAAGGAGTTTATCATGGCGCAAGGATTTCATTTCTTTTTAGTGATTTATCTTTTCATGTATCTAAAGAGATGAAAATGGCATTTTGGAGTTTCTGCGGGGGGTTTAAGAGAAAAGTTTGCTGGGTCAAGGGTTCACCAGAATACAAAGTGCACAAGATCTCTTTTATTAATCCTCACTTTAAGCAGATCATTTAAATTAAGCACGGCAATAAGATTTGCATCAACAGAATCTTGTGCTTTTCTCCACATCACGTAACCCACTGGGGCAAAGTTCAACAATCAGACAAGTTACGTGGAAAAAAAATGGCCCAGTGACACAGAATGAAGATTTCTTTAGACAAGCTGTCCCCCATGCTTATTTGACAAAATTGTCAACACAAATAATTGAAGTACTTGGAAGTTGGAAGTTGGAATTTGGAATCTCTCTACAGAGATAGGGATAACAAGCCAATCCTGGCGTGTGGGGCCAGGCCCACACCCTGCCTACTAGGCCTAAGGACGAAAGTCCAAAAATCCAAAATCACTGATTAGAGAAGGGTTCCAGGAGCCTGGTCCATAAGGCAGAAACTTAGGCCGTAC